AAGAAATCTGATACTTGGAAACTAGAAATGCAAGCTTTCAAAAAACAAATAAGCATTGAGTATTCTTAATATATAGCATAAATATAAAGATGAAAAATTCAAATTATGTTGATATTTAGAAAAATTCAGTTAGAAAACTTTTGAGTAGTGCTTAGATTTCTAATGTAGACAATGGATTGTTTGATATGCTAATTAAAAGAATACACACAGTAACTACAGAACTACATGTTTTTTTAAAAAATTATTTTATCCCTAACATCTTTGAATATTTAGTATTTCTTCTCAAAGTAAAAACCACCACTCCCAAAATTTATGCTTCAGATGAGCACACATGGTTTCAGTTCATTTCCATTTTCAACAACATTCCTTTTTTTTCAGCGGTTTTGGAAAGTCAGACAAGTAAAATGCTTTAATATATGTCCTCTACAGTAACATTTAAGTTTTTTTCTTGTTCATAAGAAACACCTAAAATGCAAATTCCTGGGCACACCATAAAGACATACTCTGCTGATCTGGGTGGGAACTGCATAGTACATGTCAAGAAACATTACTTAGAGAATTTCTCAAAGTGTAATCCTGAGGCGTCAGCATTAGCATCACATGTGAATTCGTTAGAAATGATACACTGAATAAGAAACTGTTTTAATTAAACTCTACAGGTGATTATTCTTTCTACCATAACACAACTCAATTTTTCCTTGCCTTTGACACCTTCTGTAGGAACTGGTTATGTGCTATGTGGTATGATTACTGGATATTCGTGATGTTTATTAGAACTAGCATTTTCACACCAAATCTTTATCTGGAAGTTTCTTCTTAAAAAATCTAAAATATTCTCTCTGCTAGTGTCAAGTCACATAAACGTACAATGTGATTCAGTAAATACACAAGTATTCCACTTGATTTATTTTTGGTGGTGGGGGCATACTGAGGATTGAACTCACAGGCACTCAAACATTGAACCACATCCCCAGCCCTATTTTATTTAGAGACAGAGTCTCACTGAGTTGCTTGGCACCTCGATTTTGCTGAAGTTGGCTTTGAACTCCTGGGCTCCTGCTTCAGCCTCCAGAGCCAATGGGATTACAGGCGTGCACCACTATGCCCCCCCTGAGTTGATTTTTTTTAAAGCTGACATTCATCTAGAAAAAAAAAATCTGTATCCTTGCTTCAATTATATAAATACAAATAAAAGCAAGTGATACTTTTTCACCTTTTCCTTTTTTCCCCTCCTGTGTTGTGCTTTTTCTATGTTCTTAAGTAATATTTTTATTTCACATAATATTCTGTTTAAAATGTACAAAAAGGGTAATAAACTGTAAATTTCATTCTGATTTTTTTCCTCTCAACTGTATGTTTTGAAGATTTTACCACTATTAACCAACACCTCATTTTTCTTATTCACTTTACCAGTAACAGATATTGAGCAAGGTTGCCTCAACGTTCTATTACTACCAAAAATACAGCTGCGAAGATTATACCCTTTAAGGACCATAGAAATTCCTCAGAGTACTAGGTCAGAGGATTATGGTACTCCAATTTTAATTCAATACTGACTGATTTATAGAATCTGGCAATACTAGTTTACACTTCTGTCATCAGTACATAAGACTTCCATATACCACCCAACACTTTGCATCAGCAACCTTTACATTTTTTTTCATTCTAATGGATGTAAGGTTGTATCTTATTTCTTTTTATGTTTACTAGTGAGTTTGTCTCCCCATCTACCATCAGCAGTTGGCCTTCTTTTAAACTGTCTACTCATATCTTTTGTCTATTTTTAAGGCAATTTTGTTTTGTTTCTATTAATTTGTTACAGTTCTTTATGTATTACAGATATTATTTACTTGTAAGTTATAGATGTTCCAAAATTGACATTTTATTTTTATATATGGTTTTTCATTAGAAAGTCTTAATTTAAAAAAAATTGTAGTTGTAGATGGACAGCATGCCATTATTTTATTGTTCTTTTTTATATGGTGCTGAGGATCGAACCCAATGTTCACACATGCAAGGCAAGTGCTCTGCCACTGAGCTTCAGTCCCAGCTCAGAAAGTCTTAATTTTGATATCATCAAATCAATTTTTCACATTATACTCTATGATTCTTATGTAGATATTCTCCAAAGTTTCTTCTAAATTAAAATTTAATTTTTTAAATTTAGGTCTTTAATCTTTTTAATCTTTTCTCCAAATATCTAGTTCTAATAAAATCTAAGTATTCATCTGCTTTAAACACCCTCACTACCTAGGTACACACTATCATATATCACATTCTCATATATAATTAAATCTTTGTGAGCTTACTAGTTTATTTTAGTCTACTTGCCTCCCTCGTCACAGTGTCATGATGTTTTTGTTACCATAATTAGGCTAATTTTTATTATATTAATTCCTACATGATTTACTATGGGTATTATATGAAAGGTCAGAAATCTGTGGCTTGCAGGCTAAATCTAAGCCTTTTGCTTCTTATAAATAAAGTTTTATTGAAACAGAGTCATGCTTATTTTTTAACATAATGTCTATGACTGCTTTCACACTAAATCAGAGTTATATAGTATTGACAGAGACCATGTGGACTACAAAACTAAAAATATTTTTCTTCTCCTGTATAAAGATTGCATACCTCTGGGTATAGAAAGAGTCTATTCATTTATATTAGGAAGTCTTGCTGAATTTTCTCCATCCCAGTAATCTGATTATCTAGGATCCTTATTAAACCAGCAGTTTTAGTGTAGCCTGGGACTCTGAATTTTACTTCCATGCATGTCTAATATTGTACTTTCATTATCGATATTTACTGTAGATAGCAGTGACTTGGATCATGGTCTTTGACTGCATCATGGCTGTGACTGAGCTTGCACTGGGAACTTTCTGTGTAAAGGTGGGAGGACAAGATTGTCCAGTTGTTATGGTAATGCCCTGCCTGAGGAAGCTTTGTGCAAAGGCATGGACCCATAACAGTCTTGATCTTGAGCTCAGACACCAACTGCCAGGGATACAGAATTCTAAGCATAAAATCTCCAAGTGCTGCGAACTTAAAGTCTGTATCCTTTGTAGAAACTTTCCCATAAAATCTTTTGATGATAAAACTTATGTGTTGTACTAGATCTGGGTCATTGTTCCTCCATCAGAGGACAGTGTCCCACCTTTCTCTCCGTATTTGTCTTTCTTAATCCCCTATCGCCCCTCAACAGTTTCTAAAATTCAGCCATGGAGGTCACGGCAATTTACTGCATGTGTGTGATAGATATTATATAAGAAATTGCTTTTTTTTTTTTTTTTTTTTTTTTACACAAAGTAAATAGTATAGTTGTTTGAGTGGATAAAAAGTATACTGAGTTGGGTGTGTTAGCATGCATTACAATACCAGCAACTAGGTGGCTGAGGCAGGAATATACTTGAGCCCAGTAGATAGAGGCCATCTGGGTAGCATAGCAAAACATTGTCTCAAAGAGAGAAAAGCAAAACAATACCACAATGAAGCATTGAGCTAGCAGAAAATCAGTAATTTTATGTGCCAAAGACTTCTCAATCTTTGTAATTCATTTATATTTTTATATTAATCTATAGCCAGTTTTGTAATTTCAGAAATTATTTAAAGATATAGCAAGTATACTACAATTTAAGTTAGAAAAAAAAGCAATGATCTAAAGACTATAAATAAATGTTCATAAAAATATTATTACCTTCTAAATCTTTAACAGGTATGATTCAACTCATAGTTTTTTAATGCTCTACTGCTGAGCCACAACCCCAGTGGCTAAAAGCTCTACTTTTGTACTAAGTTCTACCCTTGAATTATGTTCAACTAAATAGGGTAAGAAAGAATAAAAATCAGGGGCTGTGATTGTAGCTCAGTAGCAGAGCGCTTGCCTCACATGTACGAGGCACTGGGTTTGATCCTCAGTAACACATAAAAATAAGTAAATAAAATAAAGGTATTGTGTCCATCTACAACTAAAAGTATTTTTAAAAAAGAATAAAAGTCATGACAATGTAATTAACATATCTACTAGGCATCTTCTCATGACAAATTTAAACCAAAAAACTTCATGCAAGATAAAAAGGATAGAGAACCACTTACTGAAGGTACATTTTAGTCTTGAAAAAACTAAAGTAGCAGGCTTTTTATTTTAAATTTGATGTGCTAGCATCTACTAAATTAGTAATTTAGTTAAAAATCAATATTTTAAGGGTTTCAAAATGTCATAATCCCTCATCAGAAAATCTGAAATTCTAAAGCTCTAAAAACATAGGTATTTTTTCATAATTCATTGGCAGCAACTAAACAGAACTGATATAAAGCTATTCATAATTCTCACTTATCTCACTTGGAATAAATATTTGCTAGAGGAAAATAACACATTTGAATATAGAGCGTCCCTCTTGTATTTATTCTCCATTGCAATTATAGGTGACAAATGTACCATATTACTTCTCAAAGATTTGAAAAGTCTAAATATTGAAACACAACCAGAGTTAAGTGTTTGTCATAATGGAGTGTGGCTCTCATAATTCTAAAAAGACTTAAAAAGATTTTTAATTCCTCCCTCATTTACCATTAAAAGCATCTCTTTCTTAGTACTCTAGGTACATCTCTACTTACATTTTTATATTCTAAAACATTTATTTAAAAAAATAAAAATATTACTTTCACATCAGATTCATTGTGATAAGTACTAACTTAACAGATACTTTTCTTAAAAATCACAAAAATAGTTTGAGAAAATCAAAATGTTTAAACATTTAGTATATTAGACAATGCAACTTTTCCATTTGTAACATTAATTTACACTGTACCTTATAAGAGATCTGAACTGGAAGCTTTTTAAATTGTAATACCGTAATTCAATTGTAAACTTAGATGACAAAAAGTTAAAAAATGTATTTTTGCAATACACAACTAGGTTCTTCTATCATTCTGGACTTCATTATCTGAAATCAAAGGCAACAAAATCATGCAATTAAGTCATAAGGAATGGAAGCACTTACTTAGGAGCAGAAGGACCCCTTGGCCAGGTTCCGTCTTCATTTTTCTGTTCTATCACTAATACCTGCAAATATGACACATAAAGGGCGTTTTCCCATTATTTTTAAGTTAAAATAGGTTAAAAGATAAGCTAAATATGCTAAGGAACTAAAATAATTGTGACTATTCAAAGGATACAATAGACAAAGTAAAGATATATCTGCATTTTGATTCCAAAACTAGGCAAGGGAGATAAAAAGATCTCAAGCAGAAGTCAGTAATGATAATGAGAAAAGAAGGCAAATAAAGAAAATCATTGGTTCTATAACTTTTAAGAAAGTTTAAACCAAGGAAATAGAATATAAACTCAGAAGGTATGTTTTCTATTTGTATTGGTAGCTTGTAACATACACTGCAAATAACAGATGCTTAACCATTGGGTATAGCTGTTAAACAGTCTAATCTTAGCTAAATCATTTACTATGTCATTATGTAGTTTATAGAATATTTTAATATTTAAATAAGTCACATTTATGAGAATCAAACTGAAGTACCCTGTTGCAGCACACCTGAGGTAGATAAAAATTGCATCTAATAAATGAAAGAGTGACAATAAAGGGCTAAGGAGATGAACAGACACTTCTCAGAAGAAGATATACAATCAGTCAACAATTATATGAAAAAATGTTCAACATCTCTAGTAATTAGATAAATGCAAATCAAAATGTGCTAAGATTTCATCTCATACAAGTCAGAATGGCAGTTATCAAGAATACAAACAACAATAAGTGTTGGAGAGGATTTGGGGGAAAGGCACACTCATACATTGCTAGTGGGACTGAAAACTGGTGCAACCAATCTGGAAAGCAGTATGGGGATTCCTTAGAAAACTTGAAATGGAATGACCATTTGACCCAGCTATCCCATTCCTTGATCTATACCTAAAGGACTTAAAAATCAGCATACTACAGTAACACAGCCACATCGATGTTTATAACAGCTCAACTCATAATATTTAAATTGTGAAGATGCCCTTCAATAGATGAATGGATAGAGAAATTGTGGTATATATGCACAATGGAATATCATTCAGCATTAAAAGAGAATGAAATTATAGCATTTTCAGGTAAACAGATGGAGTTGGAGAACATCATGCTAAGCAGTAAGCCAAGTAAGCCAATCCTAAAAAACCAAAGGCCGAATGTTCTCTCTGATAAGTGGATGATGATCCATAATGGGGGGAGGTGGAAGAACTTTGGGCAAAGGGAAGGGGAGGGGGCTTGGGGACAGGAAAGATGGTGGAATGATATGGACATCATTACCCTATGACTGCACATACAGTGGGATGCTACATCGTGTACAACCGGAGAAATGAAAAGTTGTTCTGCAATTGTGTGCAATGGATCAAAATGCGTTCTGCTGTCATATATACCTAATTAGAATAAATACATTAATTTTTTAAAAATTAAAAAAAAATAAAGTGAGGGGCTGGGATTGTGGCTCAGCAGTGGAGCACTCGCCTAGCACGTGGGAGGCCCTGGGTTCGATCCTCAGCACCACATAAAAATAAGTAAATAAAATAAAGATATTGTGTCCAGTTACAACCAAAAAATAAATATAAAAATAAATAAATAAATAAAGTGAAAGGGTGAGGCAGAGCTGCACTTCATCTGAACATCCCCAATTCTTCCTTATATATTCCAGAATAAAAAGGAAGTCTTTCTTCCAGTTTTTGCTATGTAGATGAGTTTGTGCAAAGAAGAAAAATTTACTTTTAAAATAATTACCAAAAGAAATTTGTGATAATAAGATAACCCAGTCTATATGATTTTAATAAATAAATATATTACAAATCTGGATACATTCTATATATTCAGTTTCATTAATTTTCCTCATAGTTGTAATTTTTTAACCTATTCTACATACTTTAAGCAATATACTTTTATGGACTATATGATTCCAGGTCATTTATAAATTGGCATTTTGATTCTAACCATGTAAAATATACACCTATTTCAGAACATGCAATGAATAAAACACTGATTAAACAATTCATGAAACCATGTTGGAAGATAGTGCTAAAATATTAAAATGTATTAAAATTGTCTTTTTTTAAAAGTTGTATGATGTATTTGTAATAAATAACATAAAGAACAAGTGCATTGCGTGTAAGGTCCCTAAACATTAGTAACTCCATTTTGGTTCTGGGGCTCCATCTTGACCTGAAATCAAAACTTATATATAAACTGCTAAAAAAAAGAAACTTAAGGTACCCTATCCCCTTGACCCCCGCCCCCTACAAGGTCCCTAAACACAAAAAACTTGTTGTTACCTAACCACCTACACCCAAGGTCAATTCTAGTTTGCTCTTGTTCCTTGTCCAAAAGATATATAAGCTTCCATTCAAGTGACACTGGCTACTGGGCCTTGCAAAAGGGCAGCCTGGCAGATATTCTCTGTTAATAAACTTTTGCTTGAACTCAGAGATGTGTCTCGTGATTATCTGTGCCAGCTACCCTAAAATTGTCCACCTACCATTCTGGTCCCCTCCAGGTCATATTCCTCTCCCTATCTACCGGAGACAATTAGCCATTGCTTCAATTTCAAATTATCATTCCAATATATTTTTATATATTTTAAAAATTTATATAATAGAATTTATGATTGATCACTTTTTTTAAGAGGGAGAGGGAGAGAGAGAGAATTTTTTAATATTTATTTTTTAGTTCTTGGCGGACACAACATCTTTGTATGTGGTGCTGAGGATCGAACCCGGGCCGCACACATGCCAGGCGAGCRCGCTACCGCTTGAGCCACATCCCCAGCCCCATGATTGATCATTTCTGAATAAAGTTTTTCTTTACTACAACTTGTAATTTTAGTGACACATATAACATAATGGTCATTTGGAAAACTTAAATCAGCTATAAAACAAGAGATTTTAGCTGCAGAAAATTTTAAAATAATACATTTAACATTGTTTAGTCACAATACCTTCATTTCTAACAGTATTTGTACTGAAAACTTGATGTTTTTACAGCAACTGATGCTAATGTTAAAAGGTTATCATCAGAAATAATAAAATTCATTTCTTTATTCAAATGTCTATTATTCTCTGAATAAAATTTTGCTTATATTAAAACTAAATCAAAATGAAGACATTTTTAGAAAATTTTCAAATTTTAAATCACATACACAAAAGGAAAAAGGGAAAATCTACCTTTTTTGGGACACTTACTTTGCCTAACTTTCTAATAAAGACACTTTGCCTTACTTTCTAATGAGGATACTTTCAGTTTTATTAAAAGAAGGATAATGTTTAGTTCATTTATCACAGAAAGAATTGCTAATTAGACGGAAAAGCTAAATTTTTTAACATTCCACGGTAGGGCCTAAGACTAAGGCAGGAATAAAGCAGGACAGCTTGACTAAGGAGACAGACTAAGTATGGGAGAAGGAGGAAGCTAATTACCCATCCTGTTCTCATAAATTGCCTGTGGTGTGGAGGTGACATAGTGTGAGGGTATTTCACAGAATCTGACACTGTCTTCAGATTGAAGCCCAGGTTCCTTCTGGTGTTCCCCCAAAGTCCCTCCCTCCCCATCCTATACATCTTTAGATACACTCAGGAATTCTTCCTAAGAGCTCTCTCCAAGCTCTTTCCTCCCTTGTCTATGAAGGTATTTGCAACTGAATCTTATATTTTATTAAACATTAATATTGTATCTTAACAACCTGGTGGAGAAAAGTAAATTAAAAAAGAAAAGAACTGTTAAAAGACCTAGAATATTTAATGAATATTCTTTGAAACATTTCAACTCAAGGATCCTTAAAGATACTCAATCGTATTATTAAATGAACTTACTCTCCTATTCTTCAGCCTAGTAAATACATACCTTTATAGCAAGAATATCAAACTATTTAACTTCTCTAAACTTCAGGGTTTTTTTCCCCCTTTTTCAATTTGTTATTTTTAGATACATGTGATAGCAGAATATATTTTGACATATTATACAACATAGAATAACTTGTTCCAATTAGGATCTCATTATTGTGATTATATATGATGTGGAGTTATACTGGTCATATATTCCTATATAAGAATAGGAAAGATATGTCTGGTTCATTCTACTATCTTTTGTATTTCCATCCTCCCACTCTTCCCTTCATTTCCCTTTGTCTAGTCCAATGAACTTCTAATCTTCCCCTTCCCTTCCCTTGTTGTGAGTTAGCATCCACATATCAGAGAGAACATTATCCCTTTGTTTTTATTATTATTATTATTATTTTTGTATAAGGTTTTTTGAGTTCTTTGTACATCCTGAAAATTAATGCTCTATCTGAGGTGCTGCTGGTAAATATTTTCTCCCATTCTGTAAGTTCTCTGTTTATGTTCTTGCTTGTTTCCTTTGTGGTGAAGATGATTTTTAATTTGACACAGTCTCATTTACTGATTCTTGACTTTACTTCTTGCATGCTTTAGGAGTCTTACTGAGGAAGTTGGTTCCTAAGCCGACATAGTGGGGTTAGTTTTTCTTCTAGTAGGCACAGAGTCTCTGGTCAATGCCTAGGTCCTTGATCCCCTTTTAGTTTTGTACAGGATGAGAGGTAGGGTTCAATTTCATTCTTCTACATAGGGATTTCCAGTTTTCCCAGCACCATTTGTTGAAGAGGCTATCTTTTCTACAATGTACGCTTATGACACTTCTGTCTAGTATGAAATAACTTTATTTATGTTGGTATGACTGTATGTCTTCTAAGATTATAACTTATATTTAATTAGGATCCCATTCTTGTGGTTGAACATGATGTGGAGTTTCATTGGTGGTATATTCATATATGAACATAGGAAAGTTATGTCCAATTCATTCTACTGTCTTTCCTATTCTCATCCCCCTTCATTCCTTCCCCTTTGTCTAATTCAGTGAACTTCCGTTCTTCCTCTCTCTGCCCTTATTGCATATTAGCACCCACATAACAAAGAGTACATTTTATCTTTGTTTTCTTGAGGGAGGACTGGCTTATTTAACTTAGCATGATAGTCGCTAGTTCCATTTACCAGCAAACGCCATAATTCCATTTTTTATGGCTGAATAATATTCCATTGTGTATAGGAACATTTTCTTTATTCATTCATCTACTGAAGGGCACCTAAATTGGACACACATTATAGCTATCGTGAACGGAGTTGGTATAAATATTGATGTAACTGCATCACTACAGTACACTGATTTTGAGTCTTTTGGGTATATACTGAGGAGTGGGATAGGTGAGTCAAATGGTAGTTCCATTCCATATTTTCTGAGGAATCTCCATATTGTTTTCCAGGGTGGCTGCACCAATTTGCAGTTCCACCAGCAATGTATGAGTGTATGTTTTCCCCAAAATCCTTGCTAACATTTATTGTTGTTTGTATTTTTGATAATTGCCATTCTGACTGGAGTGAGATGAAATGTCAGTGTAGTTTTGCTTTGCATTTCTCTAATTGCTAGAGATGTTGAATATTCTTTCATATATTTGTTAATCGATTGTATTTCTTCTTCTGTGAAGTGACTGTTCAGTTATTTTGCCCATTTTTGACTGGATTATTTCCCTTGGTTTCTCTAAATTTTTCACAATCCAGTAATATATTATTGATGTTAGTAGTGATTTTTAATAAAATGGAACAAAACTAAATTTCTATATATTGGATCATCAGGCACTACGTTAAGTAATAAAAATTTTTACAAATATGTAATCCAACTAACAGAAGAACCTCATAGTCTAAATAAGTATACTATATATATAATTAAAGTACCAAAATGAATAATACAAAAGACATATTTGTAAATCATCATGGAAGGAGAAATTTTTCCTGAAAGTAGAAAAATCAGGGGGTATTGAGAAATAAAGTAAAGTCTAAGAGAAAATATAATATTTGAGTAGGAATTTGAAGAATTAATAATTTGATCTGGTGTGTCTACATGATAGGATGGGATGGATAATTTGAATATTTGGATGATAAAAAGCAATTTTTGCCAGAAGAATGCAGGGAACGGGAAGAAGGGTACATCAGGCAGATAAATTATGTAGGCAAAAGTTTAGTAGCATGAAATGGCATACTGTGTTCAGATGTAGTTCAGTTTGGTATTGCCACAGTAAAAAGCATAAGACAAAGTATAATCTAAAGATGCTGGAAGAATAGAAAAGAGGTTAAACCAGGAGTAAGCTAAAGTTTCTGGACTTTATAGTCATTAAGGAATAAGAAAAGGTATATAAAAGGAAAACAATCAGATTTACATTTTAGAATGAATATTCTGGCACAAATAAGAATGAGCGTGGACATATAAGAGACTGAAAGTAGCAGCATTTGTTAAGAGAATATGAAAGATAAGGGCTGGGAATAGAATAAAGAGATTAACTCAAGAGATGTTTAAAAGAATCAATTGCTGGTTATGTTCATTTCTTGGGTTATGCCATTAAAGAAAGACCAAGTTGGGAGATGATACCTGCTAGTAAGGGTTGGCAAACTATGGTCCACTTAGTGTGCTATACTGCTAAAAATAGTTTTATGGTAACAGAGTCATGCACACTTGTTTATATATTGGCTATGGCTGCTTTCATGCTATTATAAGGGCAGTTACAGTTACAAAGACTTCATGGCCTGTAGAAACTAAAATATTTATTACTTGAACTTCATAAGAAGTCTGCTGACCCAGTTTGTACTATTAACTGCTTTATAAAAAAAAAAAATAAATAATTTCTTCTTAACAAGTAGATTATTCATAAGTTCAAGGAAATCAGAAGTTATAGTTACTGACCAGCATGGGTAGAAATGAGAAGAGATAGAAGGTGAAGACAGTAGAACCCACTATATATTACAGGATATTCATTAAAGTTTGTGAATCCAACAAATTTCATGTGTAATATGCTTAAAATAAACAATATTGTTAAACAATACCTGTCCTTGGTATAAGCCAGCATCCTGAATGGTGCTGTCTGGTTTATTCAGTGGTTCAAATGTATTACTCATGTATTTGTTCCACAATCTGGTCTCCTTTTCATCTGGAATATTGAAGATTTTTCTTATTTCCTTTTCAATTGTATCTAGATTTAAGAAGGAAAGATATGTCAATATAATAAATTTTAAAAACATACCATGAAAAGCTAGATGTTTACCTGAATACAAGATTTAAGCTTAAAATAAGAATAGAATAGCAAGAACAGATGAACATATTTGTGAAAAATATTTAAAGAAAAACACAATAAATACACAAAAAAAGTTTGTAAAACCAGTTGTGGTTTTTAGGGGAAAGAAAATAATTGTAACTAGGACAAATGATTACTTAAAAAATTAAAGACCTCAAAAGGTAAAAAACTTCATTCACACAACACTAAAGTATAATTTGTTTTACAAGATGGACTTGAATTTTTGATTAATTACAAAATAAAAATATTTTCTGTGGATATGTAAAAATTAAACTATGATTAAAAGATGCTACTAATTTACATAAAAAATTTAAGAATAATTTATACTACAGAAAATAATTTATAGTTTGAATAGCTAACTAGATCATACAGACACAAAATGAAAAGGAATGTCCCTTGCTTGATGAGAAGTGTGTATTTGTCAAAATTTCTTATATTCAAGGTAAAACTATACATTTTCCAAAATCCTAAATCAAATATTTTTGAGTATTTTTTATACCAGTAGCTTAAGTTGCATAAAATAAGATATAAGATTATCTCTGTATCTGAAGGTACAAATGTAATTATGTTTCAGTACCTATAGTTAAATGAATCTTTTAAGATTTTGAAATAACCGAAAGAAATACTGGACAGAATTATCACAGTTAATTGGTTAATAACTTGCCTAACAGACTCATAAAATCTGAATAAAATATTTAACGATATGATGAAATATGGAATAATATAAAATTTAGAATAGTTGGTTAGTTTGGGGAAAAACATTGTTTGTAAAACACTCAACTTCATAATATATGTTCTTTTAAGAAACTTAAAAAGCTATACCTATTCTACATAAATTTATCCCAATGTTTATATTCTATTTAGCAGCTAAATTTCGGTAATAGTCTTGTAATCAATGAAATTTTGATAGGGTATTAAATTAGTAGTAAATATTGCAGTGCATCTCAAAACAAAGCACATGAAGCAGAAATTTAAATAATGACATAATATAAATGAATGATCAGTACTGCTTTCTTTCTATATATTTTTTTCTGTTCTTATTAAAATAGAAATGTGTAAGAAAAATGCATTCATCATCACTATTTTGGATTTAAGATTCCAAAATGACACATAAATGACAGTATAAATAGTGCTTAGATCAAAAAACAGAACACTATGTTCCCCTTATTCCTATCAAGGGAAGGAAAGAAGCCAAAGAAGTTAAGTTTCGTCTTTCTATAAAAATGAATACATTTCTCCTGACTGCAGAAATAGTTTTTGTTCATTGCAAAAATACTGAAAACACTGACATCTACCAAGAAATAATCACTGTTAACATTCTAATGTCTTTTCTAGACTTTTTTTTCTATTACGACACACAGATATTTATGCACATAATATATAGTATATACGATAATACATGGAAATTTCCTCTTCATTAAGTTTTGTAATCTAGTTCTATATAGGGAAAGAACATAAGAGGTATAAGGAATAGCAATCCAAAGGCCTTGAGATGGGAATGTGCTTGGCATGTTTTAGAAGAGCAAGGCACATGAAAGTGGCTGAGGTATAATGAATGAGATAGAAATGAAACCTAAAGATATTTCTGTACCTTATATAGAATTTTGTGGGCTATCAGAGAATTTTAATTTCATTCTGAGTAAGCAAGGAAGCCACGGAGGAGCTTTGGAGAAATAAGTGAAATGACAGAAGCCACGGAGGAGCTTTGGAGAAATAAGTGAAATGACAGGACTGACATTCTTCATGTTCACTTTTATAGATGGCAGGAGTTTCAAGGGTCGGAGACAAGGTATGGAAGTAATACAAAACAAAGTGGTAGAAACGGAAGAAGTGTTTAGATTTAAGTGATGAGACAGAGGATGGACTGTAAAGTATTTGAGGGTGAAAAATAAAGGAATCAGAATGATACCAATGTTCTTGACCTTAGCAACCTGAAGAAGTGGCCATTACTGAGTTGAGGAAGAATGAACGGGATTTTGGAGTGAGGGTGAAGAGTTTCACTTTATAAACAAGATCTGGAGTACATGAAACTAGAATTAGGAAGAATTAGGGGCAAGACATACAAATTTAAAAGATATTGAAAATACTGATGAATCACCAAGAAAAAGAAAAGAGATCCAACTACTTAGCATGGAGATACTGATATTTTGAGATCAGGAATAAAAGACAATCTTACAAAGGATTCTCACAAGATGCAGCTAGGAAGAAACTGTGCCCTGAAAACCACAAGAAAATAAAGTGTTTCTAGACAGAAAGTAGTTTACTGTGCTAAATTTTGTTGGCTGGCATGTTAAGAAGATGGGAGACTCCTAAATTACCACTGAACTTAGAAATAGGGAGGTCATCAGAGACCATGATAGAAGGAATGTCTAGGGAGTGGTAACATTAATGTGACTGGTTAGAAAGAGAATGGGAGCAGATGAGCCAGAAAGCAAGACACAGAAACTGAGATGGGCAAGTACAGTTACATATGACAGCCTAGACAATAACTGTGGGAACTGGTAGCTGAGGTTAAGTGTAAGTCAAGATCACTTTGGTTAAGAATTCCCAGAGATTGAGAGCATTTTTTTCCCATATATTAACTGGATTCTATTAGCCAGTTAATGAAAAGCTACAGAAAGAGGAAATAAACAAATAGGCAATAGAAATAAATTATGACAAATATTTCTAGTAGGAATATTTAATAAGAGTGCCAACCAATTTTATTAATAAATTTTACAAAGTATTTTTCAAAAAGTTTAAGAACAAAAATTCTGCTTTTAGTGGTTAGCCTTTAAGAAATATAAAATCTAATTTTATTATCTTACTGGAGCATGTTCACTACCCTAAGATATCAATTTAGGGAGAAAAATATTCAAAGGCAAGTATTTTAAACCCTTATATGGCAGATTATTTAGTTTTTGACTATGGCTTCCATCATTCTACTATAAATCAACATACAGTATTAGCTGAAAACAACATTTATTAATTTAGTGATAATGAAAGCCAGAAAATTATGTTTTTAAAAAATAAAACTTGTGGCACTAGGTGATTAACCCAGAGGCACTCTATCACTAAGCTACATCCCCATCCCTTTTCATTTTTGAGAAAGGGTCTCACCAAGTTGCAGAGGCTGGGCTTGGACTTGTCTTCTGAGCAGCTGGGATTACAAGTGTGTACCAGAAATTATATTTCTTAATCCTGTTTATATAACTAATGTAACCATTTCATGTACATGACTTTTTTGATCATTTTCAACCAGGATTTTTAAAAAGGGAAAATTCCATTCATTTTCATTATCCAAATTTTCTGTTTCAAAACTCATGTTCTTTAGAAAAGTAAAAATCAGTCCAATTAAAATGAACAGTATTTTACCATGCACAAACTGTTGTAAGGTACCAGTTAAGAAGAAGATTTTCAGATAAGAGCCCTGGTTAATGAAATTAAAAACTGGCTCTCCCAGGGCTGAGGTTGTGGCTCAGCAGTAGACTGCTCACCTAGCACATGTGGGACACTAAGTTCCATCTTCAGCACCACATAAAAATAAAATAAAGGTATTGTGTCCAACTACAACTTAAAAAAAAAAATGGCTCTCCCATTTGCTATCAGGGTGAACTGAAGTAGATGAAAGCCTAAGCTTCATCATGTTTAACATGAGGCTTTATGGTTGTTAAGGTTCAAATAACAGCATTCCTGAAAAGTGCCTAAAACCATATTAAGTGTTCAATAGCTGTTAAGTTGTATGATAACTAAAACTATAGAAGCCTCTAAAATGCCTGGTTCAATTAACTTTAATTTTTGCAGAACTTTTTAAACTAAAACCTATAGTAAAAAATTGAGAGTTAGCAGACATACATATGCATTGATATTTTATACTCTGATACTTCTCATTCAATTATATTTACTCTCAAAACTGTATAAAAAGACACCAAAGGAATGACTGCCAGTTGGAAAAACATTGATCTAACAGCATAAGAATTTGTATAGAAAATTTAAGTTCATATTCAATTTTAAGAAATATATTCAATGTATGAGGCATTTTGAAAAGTAGAATATTTCAGACTGCTGATTAAAACCTATACTAGTTCATAAAGTTTTTGGAACAGAGATCCTTTACAAATTGAATTTCTCCCTGACAAATTCTTACTTGGTACTTAACATGAGAACTATAAAATGCTTGTTATGAATTCAGAAATTAAACCATTTACTAATTTTCATAAGTTAAAAACATTAAATAAATCATCTAAAATAACGTTTCTTATGGTTTCATTTCTAATTTTCCTGTAAACTATTTAGATACTTTAACAAAAAAAGTATGTAAATATGAAACTATCTATAGTCTCACCAAGTTGCAGAGGCTGGGCTTGGATGTATGTAAATATGTAAATATTATGTATGTAAATATGAAACTATGAAGAAAATATCAAACTTTAAAAATATCTAGAAAACTTTATCAACTAATTTTAGAGATAGCCTCTCATTTATATTCCAATTGGCTGCAGATTGCAGGGATTAGTTTCTGAATTAATTTTAATGAACAAATTTTATTAGAAAGACAGATTCTGATTGTGCACAGATCACTACAATTAACATAATTTTCACAATTTGAAAACATCTAGTTCTTAATATGTAGTAATGTTTTATTATCTTAAATATATTCTAAAAATCTGGAAACTCAAAATGTGAAATAACTTATCCATAATAAATTATAATGAGTTTACTGAAATTCAACCTTGAACTTATAAATGTTCCAGCTAAATAAAGATGGGAGAATAAAGAATTCATGATATAATATTTTATTTGGTAAAAATATTAGAATTAATGTTTTGAAGAATGTTACTATTTCATAAAATATACAGATTAAAAGTACTTTCCTGCTATGAAATTGAAAGTGGTAAAAGCCAAATGACCTCACCAGCTAAGCAAGCACTGTTAACAGGGAGCTATATCCCAGCCCTTATTTACTTTAACGTTCTTAATGATAGGTTCGGATAAGGTAATCTTATTCAGTGTTATAATTAATAAATGTGCTAATCTCTCTTCCATGCTGAGTTCTACATGTCATGTATCCTTCTCCATTGTTTACATTTTCCAAAAAGATCATCACCACTAATCTTGTTTTATAAAATCATTATTTAAAATGAAACAATCATTTTTTGTTTTTATTTTGACTTATAGTTTATAAAAGTACTGTAATTTTTATTAAATTCACAATAATTTATTTTTAAAACTTTATTGAATGTATTCTTGATTTTAAAATAAAACATGGCTTTTTAAATAGAATGAAAATTTTTGTATATTTTAAATATATATATATATATATATATAAAGATATAAAGATATATAAAGATATATAAAGATAAGGAAAGAAATAAAATCCACTGATATTTGATTATGATTCCCTAAGTTATTCATTCACAACAAAAATATCAATGTGTCATAATAATGTTAAGCCTGTTGCTTTAACTACTAAATTGTATTTAGAATACAAAATAAATTGAGAGAAAAATGGAAATAGGCCATTGCCATTTTCACTGCTACTTAACCAAATTTTTATTTAAAGTTCTACCTTAATTTACATTTTATAGAAGATATGACATATATTTTTAAGTACTAAATTAAAAAAATAACCATATGATTTTTTTAAAGCAAAGTGACAAATGTTAAGCAAAGTGACACAAATGTTAAGCTCATTAAACAAATGGAAAACAAGAGTAAGAAATAATAAATAATTCATCTCTAAGCTAAGATATATTGTGTCAAGGTTAGGAATCTGTGATGTTTATGAATAAGCCTTTAAAATGGTTATCATTCTAGTTGCATATAAAAAGAGAATTATAACTAAATATCTAATAGCAATGGTTTAAAAAGAGATAGGATCTTGGGGCTGGAATTGTAACTCAGCAGTAGAACGCTTGCCTTGTACACATGAGGCACTGCAGTAGATTCCCAGCACCACATATAAATAAGCAAAATAAASAATCAACAACTTAAAAAAAAAAAAAAAGAGATAGGATCTTGCATTACCTATTGTGTCAGCTTTGCTAAATCTTCGAGTTACAACATTGTTCATGTTTCCATTTTCACAGAGCTTCAGTTCTGTGAGGTACACTTCCACTTTGCAGTGCTTCACAAACATACCCTGTTCAACCACCTAAAAGAATGGGAACACATCAGTTTCACCTATATCAAAATATTTCATTCTTAAAGCAATATATTTCTCTAAAAAGGCTTTAGAAAAAAGCTGCAGATATCTAATGGAAATAAATTAACTATTAAAACTTGTTAATATAAAACAAAAGATACTGTTATAGCTGAAAGTTAAAAAACACATTTTGGGAAATTTTAGCAAAATATGAATAATTATGATTTAAAACATTGGGAAAGGCAGCCTACTGGTTTATAAAGAAACTTTGGTACACTATAAACAGTGAATACATTTAGTTTTTATGATTAGAAAGTTTACCCAAAATGACTGCATGTGTTTTTTTCTCTAGGTAATATGTGTTAGTATACAAATGCACCTCTGATTAAAGACACAAACATACATCTAGCTTTTAGTAGTAATCCCCAAACAGAAAACCTTTTAAAAGTTTTATACAATTTAAACAACTGCTATATTATCACTCTGTAAGTTAAAATAAATATTTTAAAATGGTAACTCAAAATTACTGCTGCCAAAATACTCGGCTATTGCTCTGTAACTGATATGTTAGTTTCACTCTAAAATGACTTTCTTTGACCTTTACAAGCATGCTTAGTAATTCTATGCAATTGATTTTTTTTAAAAAAGAAGCTGTCACACATGCAAGCAATAAAGTATAAAGAGAGAAAATATTTATATATTAGGGTCACCTTTTAAATAAGTATAATTCCTTTTGATCTTCTAAAGGTTAACTGTAGGATTTCAGTCATGAATACTGTTTCTGAAAATAGTAATAGGCCTGATATGTGATACATTAGACAAATATGGTGAAAGGGAGGCTCCAAAATAACTTAGATGTACTCACAAGCTGACATCAATTCAATATGTGACTTACAAATTCATTTTTCACTTTCAGGGAATCTGTTTTCAGCTCAAAAAATTAAAAGAGCTTAGCTATTATTTACTGTATAATAATATGAATTTTTACACGGTCATATTAAATTCTCTTAATCATGTTACAAATTTCTAAAACAGATTATGGCCTACATCTCTCCCTCTGTTAATAAACTTAATTCATTTTATAAAATTAATAAATTATTATTTTATAAAATTAATAATTTTATGAGACTACTGGTAGCTATATTTAAGCAGAGAAAAACTAGGAATCATATTTGATTCTTATCAAACAGAAATTTTGGCTCTGGGACTCAATATCTGAGTAAAATCCTAAAATAGTATTACTTACTAAACATTTTTGGATTGCTAAAACTGAGGTAAACTGCAGGCCTCATTTATATTTAAAAAACAAAAACAAAAGAGAGAAATAGGATAAATAAAAAATAAGAAAACCCCTCATTAGGAGTTACATATTGAGGAATATATTTTACAAATAAGCACAGGTTTTTATTTTTTGTTTTTAATTGAGAATCAATTTTCAGAATACTAATAGACATTTTTTCTGAAAAGAACCTAGTCATTGAATTGTCAGAAAGTCATTGGAAAATCTATAAAAGCAGCCGGGCATGGTAGCTCATACTTTTAATCCCAGCAACTTCAGAATTTGAAGCAGGAAGTCACCAAGTTCAAGGCCAGCCAGGGGAACTTAGTGAAACCTTATCTCAAAATAAAAATATAAAGGGCTGGGGATGTAGTGGTAGAGCACCCCTTAGTTCAATGCTCTGTCTAAAATTCTCACAGTATTCAAGGCCCTTTAGGTTTTCATTAATATTCATAAAGTCTTATAGCTTCTACCTACACTGCTCACCTCCAAAGTCATCACATTTCAATTTTTGCACCCTACACCTAGGTACCAAAATCAATATCAGTTATCTTTCGCTGCATAAAAAACTGCCTTGAGACTTAGCAGATTAATCCAGCAACATTTTCTCATGTCACTTCTAAGGGTCAAGAATCTGGGAGCAGTTTAGCTGGGTTGATCTGGTTTGGGATCTCTCATGAGGTTGCTGTAAAAACTGTGGGCCGGGGCTTTAATCATCTGAAAACTCAACTAGGCCCAGACAATCCACTTCCAAGCTTACAACTTAGGCCTCCTTCCTCTTTATTAGCACAGATCTCAGTTACTCACCATAGGTTTTCTGAGTGACCTTGCCATATGCAGTTGAATTCCCCCAAGTGAGATATGAGAACTAAAGTGCATGCACACTCAAGATGTAAGCTGCAGTGTCTTTTATAACCGAATCTTGAAGTAATATACCATTGGTTCTCTATATACCAATGGTCACATAATATTATAGTCATTAATAATTATAAAATGAATCATACAACACGGAAGGGGACCCAAAGATGTAGATATGAGGAGTTGAAGAATATAGGGGGTCATTTTAGAAACTTCTATAAGTTACATAGTTTTATATATATTTTCAACTTCATAATAAATTATTAATGTTTTAAACAATCCATACTAACATTTATTTACAATATTTACTACAAGTCTGCTGATAAAAAAATTCTATCAGTTTATATTTGTCTGAAAATGGCTCCTTTCCCTTTCATTTCCAAAAGATTCTTTCCACAATCATAGAATTCTATTCTGGAGTTGCTACTGTTAGGAATTATATTTCTCCATTTTCAACATTTTTTATTAGGTATGATTTTGTTAATATATTCTCAGGTTGGATTCACAGCATTTCTTGTGTGTTAAACTAATTCACTGTATTCCATGTATTCTTTACTTTTGTCTAAATTTTCCATTCTTTTGCCTAATTTCTAGAATGTATATGGTCCACTGACATTATCATTTAGTCTACAAATTCTCATTTACTTAGCATAATATCCAAATACTAAGTTCAATATTTTTTCATATTTTCAGTTTTAGAATTACATCTGGTTGTTAATCTTACCCTACTTTTCAATTATTGCCTTTTTTTAGCATAACACATGTAGTTTAAAGTTTCTGTCTAATAACTCCATTAATTGGATTTCTTATGGGTCTGTTTCTATTGCTTATTGTTTTTCTTGGATTTTGGTCCTAGTGTATTTCTTGTTTATATGTTTTTATAGTAGCTTGTTATTAAAATTAAGTGTCCAAATTTCTAAGTGAAACATTTTATTATTTGAGGCCCGAGAAGATGTGTAACTTTGTTTCTGCATAATAACTAAGGCTATTACCAACTCTAGATTCTTTAAATAATCATTCTATAATTCCAAGTTGAACTTTCTATTCTACAAGGGCAGTCTGTTTACTTCAAGTGAAGTTCACCTGCATCAGTCACATGGGTATAATAAAAATGTCAATTCCTACATTTAGTGATTCAATTTTGGGGGAAGATTCATCTTTAATAAGGGCTCAAGCAGTTCTGTGCAAATTAAAGTTTGAAAACTATTTTTCAGGTTCAGGGAATTCCAGTCACCTTATTAAAAATAAAAGTAGGGTCTTCTAATAGACTTCTCAAATTTCTTTCTTTTTACTTATGTATTTTTTAAATTTATTATTTCATTTTTTTCCTCACTTTAATTTGCTTATCAAACAAATTTTAAGAAATATCAGTGAGGCCTCTTTTAAAGAGTAATGGCCAAAGATGTCGATTTTATCACTCTAAAAAATTAACAATAAAAGAGAGTAATGAAAATAAGAATAAAAAAGAGTAATGGCAATGAAACTGTTAGGTGACCTGGTACCACAGTAAAAATTTGTAGGGTATAATATGATACATGTATAAGGAAAAAAATAATATAGTTTAATACATTTGAAGATATTTTGATCACAGATTTTCCTTTATCCTGGGAAATAAGTTCTTTTAGAATGGTTACACAGCTAAATAGGCAATCTTTCAATTGGTCAAAACACTCAATTCTCCAGGAATGATAAAGCACCTAGACTAATCTCTATTTATATAAATTATCAATATAAATGTAAGGTTAGCTAATTTATCTTGAGTATCTGGTATTCTAATATAGGAATAACCTCAATTTCATAACTCTCATTAGTTGCAAAAAAAGGAAAATTGGAAATTTTTAATATTTCTGGACTACAATTATGAAACTTTAAAATAAAGATATGAAGCTGGGTGTGGTGGTACATGCCTGTAATCCCAGAGGCTTGGGAGGCTGAGGCAGTAAGATCCCAAGTTCAAAGCCAGACTAAGTGATTTAGCAAAGACCTAAGCACTGAGGATGTGCCTCATTAGGTAACACTTCTGGTTCAATCACCAGTACCCCCCAAATAAAAAATATATATATATAATTTTTAAAAAGATACAAAAAAAATCTACATTTTTTAAATTGGAAGATTTTTATTTGAAAAAAAAAAAAAAAAAGGAGTGCAGTACAGAAAATGGAGTTAGGCTGCCTGGTGTACTTTCTACCCTGGCCCCTTCTAACTTTTGGTCTTCATTCCCTCACCTATAAAGTGGGAATATTACTTAGAGTTTTCCATAAGGATTATTTATTAAAAAAGTAATGTCCTTAGAACAGTGAATAGCATACAGTAAATCCTTTCTATATGTTAGCTGTTGTATCATTTTTATAATACAATGTAGACTAACATTTTGCTAGACCTTTTTGCCAGAGTAAGTGATGAGGCTTCATAGTTCATTAACAATAAGATGTGTGGGCTGCGGTTGTGGCTCAGTAGTACAGTGCTCATCTAGCATGTGTGAGGCCCTGGGTTCAATCCTCAGCACCACATAAAAAAATTAACAAAATAAAGGCATTGTGTTCAACTACAACTAAAAAATACATATTAAAAAAACAATAAAATGTGAATTATTTAAGAAAACTAATAATTAAGTTATTCTCAGATGTACCTTTCGTGCTATTGGCTCCTGACCTTCCATCAATGTGTACCAGCTGACAAGTTTATTCCAGCCCTCAGTTGGCAACAGTATGTAATCCAATTCATCAATAAGATGTTCCTTAAGTGACTGGGCATCACCATCTGTGAAATGAAAAATAAACTCAATACATAAACAAAGCAATAGTTTTTTACCCTAGTATTCTGATTATACATATCACACATTATTTAGACTCATGAAGACTACTTTGAAGTATATAAAAGAGAGAACTCCAAAAAAAAGCACTGGAGCAGTTCAAATTCCACTGTTGCTTGAAAAGTTTTCAATGTGTATGATTAGTCAGTTTTCTAAAAATGTAATTTTTCATCCATTAGGCTTTAAAATATACTCACATAATTATTAGCCAAGATACCTGAAAGAAGAATGTAATATTTTGAGCATCAAACAATCTCCACATGGTTCATTTTATCATTAACGAATGAAGGAAATTCAGAAACAAGTAAATAACCTTTTACAATGATTCCAAGACAAATGGGCTATGAACTATAATAGAAATCACAAAGAGGTATCTTGTGAACCGTCTCATTATCCCAGAAGGCTCAGATTCTTCCCAAGATCTAAAATGGTGAGTTATTCTGACATGCTTCCAATGTTGTGATCTACTTTCAATTTTTTAGTTAAAACAAAAAATTAAATGCAGGGCAGCCAAATCTAGAAGCAATTTCCTAAATTGTAGCTACCTCACAGTCCTAATCTGGGACTCATTTATTAATTGGTCATTTGAATTTCTAAAGTACAGAAATAACTCACTGGGTTTTAGCTAACTTAAAGGAGATTTTCTTATTCTGAATTAGTCTTAATTAATAGATATGGGGGGCAATACTGTTCTTGGCAGCATTTCAATAATAAAAGTGTATTAGACCTAATAAGGTCTAATGATTGAATCAACAAGAAAAATAAAGATGTAAACAGAATGTCACTCAGAATTAATCTGTAGTCACAACATTTCTAAACTTTGAGAAAACTCTGAATCTTATGAATTTCAAGAGCAGATATAAACCAAGTATTAATTTTTTAGCTCAGTTTTTATTTAATCATTTATTTGGTTGATGAAAAGATTTTATTTTGTTGATGAGAAGATTTTATAATACATTTCCAAAAACTCTCAGAAGGTAAAAGAAATATAGTCTCACTAGACATCATGTACTATGAGACATACTACCACTCAAAAAGGAAATATCTGTCAATTTCAAAACAGCCCTATAAGAGAGATATCTCTAATATTAAAGATTAGAATATATACTCAGGGATATTGAGTAATTTACCCAAAGTAATTATAGGAAATTACATATACTGTAAAATGTTTTTTATACAGATACTATAAAATGCTTTCTTACAGAAAATCAAGTTATCTCAGTTAATTTTCAAAGTAACAGTATGAAGAAGGTATCTCCATTTTAATTAGAAAATAGATTCAGGGATGTAGATTTAGGGATGACAAAAATCACACACAGAGAAAACTGCAGAGACTCAATTAAAACATAAATTTGTTTACTGAATACCCATTTACACAACATTATAATACACTGCCTTGAAAAAAACTTAGAAAGTTTTAAAATTATGTGCCAGAATCTAATAAGTAATTCATATCTAATAAAATAAAATAATCAACTCATTTTCAGGAGAGAACACATTTAAACTAAATACAGAATTGATATTTGCTGTGTCTCTGTATACTGATATATAACTGCAATACAATATACTATACATTTAAAAAATAGTTTGGTAAGTTTTGACGTTATCAAAATAAGTGTGAAATCATCACCACTAGCAAAATTATGAAAATCTCTCTTAACCCCAAGTTTGTGGCTCTTTATCATTTCTTCTTCCTGCCCATCTTGTCCTAAGAAAACTGATCTGTTTTACAACTCAGACTAACTTGCATTTTCTAGAATCATACATAAAAACAATATGTCCTGTTTTTGCTTTTTGTCAAATTGTTATTATTTTGAGATCATCCATATTATTACCTATCAACAGTTCATTCTTTCCTAAATGCTGAGTAGGATTTCATTATATGGATATACTATCATTTGTTTATCAAACTGTTGATAGGCATTTGAAATTGTTCACAATTTTTTAAATTACAAATAACACTGTGTGAACATTCATGTACAATTTTTCATACAGACAAATGCTTTTATTTCACTTGGGTAAATGCCTGAATAGAATGAATGCATACTATGGTAAATGTATGTTTACCTTGGAATTTCACTTGCTTTTTATTGTTGTCAACATTTTGTAAAGGTCAGTCTTTTAAATTCTGGTCATATTAATACATGTGTAGTAGTACCATACTGTGCATTTGTTTTGTGGTGCTGAGGATAAAACCCAAGGACTCAAGCATGCTAGGGAGGCACTCTACTACTGAGCTATATCTCCAGGCTCCCTTGTTGTGGTTTTAATTTTCATTCCTTTAATAATAATGAGGCTGAGCATCTTTGTATGTGCTTTTTTAAAACTTCTTGTTTGGTAAAGCATTTGTTTGAATCATTTGCCTACCTTTCCCACTGTGCTGTATGTTTTCTTCGAAGTGAGTTTTATTCCATTGTGGTAAGAGAACATAAATTTTGTATGATTTGAATGCTTTTAACTTTACTGAGACAGGTTTTATGGCCCAGAATACAGTCTATCTTGGTAAATATTCTGCATATATACCTGAAAAAAACTTTTATTCTGCTATTTTTCAGTGGCATGTTCTATAATGTCAACCGAGTCAAGTTGAAACAAGCAAGTTACTGATTCCTTTTGCTTTGTTCTTAACTTCTGAAATCCAAACTATGCTAGGTCAGTCAGCATTACTCAATTTTTCTTTGGGATTTAAGGATCTGTATATCTATTTTCCTTCCCAGATTCTCTTTTCTTCCTCCTTCAGAAATTGCTATAATGCATATATTAGTTTGCTTGATGGTGTCCCATAAATTCCTCAGGTTTTCTTTACTTTTTCATTCTTTTTGTTTCTCTGGTGGAATAATTTTAAATGATAAATCTTCAAGTTTGTCAATTTTTCTACTGGATTAAGTCTGTCTTTGAAGATCTTTATCGAATATTTCAGTTATTGTATCATTCAGCTTTAAAATTAGTTTGGTTCTTCTTTATAATTTTTATCTCTTGGTTGATATTTTCATTTTCCTAACTCTGTTGTTTGTTCTCTGCAACTCACTGCACTTCTTCTAGACAATTGCTTTAGATTCTGTCATGCAGATCTCCAATTCTGGAAATTTACTTTGCTTCTTTCTGTCATTTTTCCCTGATGCTTTTTCTTTTTTTAAATGTGTTGTGTGTGGTGGGGCAGGGAATCAAGGATTGAATTTAGGGTTGTTTAACTACTGAGTCACATCCCCAGCTTTGTTTTGTTTTTTATTTTGAGACAGGTATCATTAAGTCCTCAGGGTCTTGGTAAACTGAACTCGTAATCCTCCTGCCTCAGCCTCCAGAGTCACTGGGATTACAAGTATGTACCACCGCACAAGCTTCCCTGATTCTTTATATTCCTTATAGTTTTGCATTTGGTGTTTGTGTAACTAAAAACAAAACAAAACAAAACAAAACAAAAAAAAACAAAACAAAAAAAAAAAAACCAACCACCCCTTCTTAGTCTTTATGGATTAGCTTTGACAGGAAAATACCTTCAGGGATCAGTGAGAACTTTTTCTTTGGATATGTCTTTTCTGTACCAGAATATGTAAATTCCTAATTGTAACTATTCATAGATTTCTTTTTATTCTAAGAACCCATAATCTCTTCCTCCCTCTGATAACTGACTACCATACCACAGGTCAAAATAATATAAAGGCATACTCCACTCCTTTTCCCTAGGGGGTAATCCCCAGGGAATGTTCTGCATATTCTCCCAACATTGTAGAGCTATCACACCTGAAGCAAGTTACTGACTCCTTTTGCTTTATTCTTAACTTCTGGAATCCAAACTATGCTAGGTCAGTCAGGCATAGTGAAACAAGCAGAAACTAGCCCTGTAGCTACTGAACTAAGTGGCAGGATGCTCCACTCTTCTTCTTTCCTGGGAGAAGACTCAGGTTCTAAGCCTTCTCTCAACCTCACAGAGACTTCTGACTGCAGCAACCACCCACACCTTTTCTTTTGTTAACTGCTCTCAGGTATCAGAACTATTCTCCTGGGCAGCACACTGAAAAATGGGATGTTAAACCTGAACTTTCCTTTTTCTTTCCCCCAAAGGAAGATGTCCTGCACCAACACAGTCTCTCTCTTGTTCTAACAGGCCAGCTTGGAGGAAGAGTCCATGTAAATAAAATAAAATTATTCTTCTTTCCTGTTTCAATGTTTGTTTTCAGTTTTATGCTCATCTAGAGTATTGTAACTTTACTGGATCTGGTTTTCCCATAAAGGTGTTCTGGTCCATATGCCACTGTTAAATCAGTGTTTCTGTGGGGGAACAAGGGATGGAACCTTTCTATTCTACTATATTATTGATATCACTCCTCATCATATTATTTAAATTATGCCCTTAGGAAGGTAGATATTAGGGATAATTAAGTCTCTTGATGAATTGTCCCATCCCATTCAGCATTATGAAGTGAGCATTGTTCTGAAACTTACTATTTGGTATTAATATGGCCATTTCAGTTTTCTTTTGATAGTGTTAGCATGAGCATTAATTTTCTACTGCTTCATAATAAATTACCACAGTGGTTTAAAACAACACTCACAGTTATGTGGGTCAGCAGTTCAGGTGGGCTCTGTCCTTAAGGTTTCATGAAGCTGAAGTCAAGATTGTCACCTGTGTTTAGGCTCTTATCTAAAGGCGCTGGGAAAAATTCTGTCTTCAAACCCATTCAGGTTGTTGACAGAATTCATTTACTCATGGTTGCATGTTTGAGATCACCATTTCTTTGCTGGCTGTCTTGTTCCTACAGACCAGCAATGATGCACTGAGTCTTTTTTTTTTTTTTGCTTTGAATTTAACTACTTCTGACACAACCAGAAAAAATTCTCTGCTTTTAAGGGCATATGTGATTAGATAAAGCTCACTTGGGATAATCTCCCCTCTGCCTTATGATCAATCATGGGAGTGATATCCTATTTACAAGTTCCATCTATTCAAAGGGCAGAGGATTATACCAGACAGTTGTTGGAGGTCAGTCTTATCAGCATGGCACATATTGTTTACAATCAGTGTGATCATTCACAGAGCTGTGTTTTATTTGTTTTGCACTTGTCTCATCTGTTTTTTGTCCACTTTTTGGAGGGAGGTTTTTTGTTTTGTTTTGTTTTTTAAGATATTTCTTCTCACTGTGGGTCATATTTTCCTGCTTCTTTGCACACTGGGAAATATTTGGTTGAATCCAAGATATTATAAATATTATGTTATACACTGGATATTTTTGTATTACCATAAATATTCCTTTATCCAAAAATTTGCTTAAGTTACTTGGAAACAGTTTGATGCTTTCAGTTTAGCAGTGCAAGAAAATTAATTTCACCCAACTGTAAGGATAAAACTGTTCTCAGTAGTTTACACTGTGAATTATTAGGTTTTTCACTGGCTGCTGGGCATTCCATTGTTTTTGGTCCTAAGTCCTGACTGAGTGTTCCCTCAGATTCTTTTGGATGGTTCTTTTCCTGACCTTAACAGCTTCCTCATACACATATGCAGATCAATAGTCAGTTAAAAGACAGAAGATAGATCCTCTGCAGATCTCTAGGTCTCTCTCTTAGAGATGTTCATTCTTCCCTGGTCTTCCTGAACTCAAATTTTGTCTCTTTAACTAAGGGATACTTCGAGAGTCTTATTGGGTTTCTCCTTTCTGTGCTGCCTCCTGGAAATTTTCAATATAGAAAGCTGAAAGTAATTAACTCACCTGATATTTACATCTCTCAGGGATCACTGTTTTTAGGTACTCGATAACCAGTGTTCTGAGAATCACTATCTCATTTATTTTTTGTCAGAAGGGTAAGTTTGAAGTTTCTTCATTTTGGCCAGAAATAGAAGTTCTGGTACTTACGTTTCACTCCCTTTAAATGTAATGAGATACAGAGGGGCTGACAAGTGGTGAGGGTGTAGAAGGATAATGCAAAAATCCAAGAAGGTAAACATATACTGGTTCTCTCAACTTAAAAAAAAAAGTTTCCTATACTATAGGAAAAATACATGTGATATATATCATTTTCCTGAAACATTAAATAACACTGTGCTTTATAATTTACATTCTTCACTTCAAGGTTTGAACAATAAACCTTAATGAAAAAACAAAATTTGTCATAATACATAACAGTAACTAATTATCATAGAATAATCTGAGCTCATTAGGTCAACTCTATAATACAAAAAGAGAGTTCTAATTTGTTCATTTATTTACATTCCCATATTATAGTCATTGACATTTACATATTGCAATTTAACACATTTACAACTTAATGAAGAAAATAATGACCTTTGAGAAGTCCAGAGTTATCAATGGGTCCAGGATATACATTTTGATCTCCCATCTGGTATTTGTCCCAACTGTCAAAGCCAACATATTTTTTCCACTGTTTGAACCAGCGACTATCAACTAGGTACCTAGAAAAGAAAAGAAATTGGTTTAGGAAAATACCTGGAAACACAAGAACAGCAGAAGAGCTATCTATTTTTGATATTTCATTTTGTATTAAAGAACAAGCCTATCTCAAAGGATTACTGAGAATTACTGTAATACCACTCAGCATTTGGAAGAAAAATACTTCATTTATATCTGTATAAGTATTATTTCTATTATTCTATGCTATTTGAGGATAGGTATTGACATGAAAATGTCATTTTACAAAGATGCAAGTAATAGGTATTCAAGAAAATACTTATTAATTAAACAAAAGTTCAAATAATTATAAGAATCAATCAACATAGTTTTAAAATTCAATGTGGTAAAAAAGAAATATAAAAAAAAATGGCTCTTTTCCAGAAACTTATACAGTATTTCATATACTTTAATGTGTTTTGCTTTTTTTGAGGGAAGGAAAACCTTGTTATTAAGAGCTTGCAAAGTTGATCAGAATAATTATAATTAAACTTAAAAAATATTAAAAATAAGTTTTTTTTTTTACTAACAAAAAATATTAGTAACAATATTATCCCTGACTGTTCTTATACAGTAGTAAAATCTGCTGGGGCATTTTCCTCATATTTAACTGGGTTCAGTTGCAAAGAAAAGCAAAAGTGAAGGTTTCTGAGATGTTTATAGCTCATGTGTGTAATAATACAGATTTTCAGGAGATCATCATCCTAATGCTTCTGGGCTTATCACATACAACACTATAGGAATAAAAACCCACAATTATGTCTGAAAATAACTAAAGCAAAGGCACCCAAGTAGCAAAACCCCATAATTCTTCAAGAATATTCATAAGCATTTTAACTTCCTGAAAGTGAATATGCAGAATTATCTATGTACCAGTATTCCAAATCCACTGTCAGAGTTATGCAACTGGAAGAATTGTGGAACTTCAGATTTGTTGAAAAAGGAAATGAGGCACTAAGTCTTGAGAAAACACTGTTTTCTAAAATCATGTTTGGAAAAAAAAAATTTTTAATGAAATAAATCATACTTGGTTGAAAATTACTCCCTATCTGTGGTATGCTGCTTGCCTAGCATGTGYAAGGTCTGGGTTCAATACCTATTACTGAAAAAAAGTATACACTGTGTAACGTTAAAATCAGGGTAAACATCTTTTCAAACATTTATCATTTCTTCAAAAAAAGAAAAAGAAAAAAGAAATCAACTCACTAAAACATTTTTAGACTTTGTCCTTCCCTGAAATTTAAATACATGTTTTCCCCATGAATTTTATAATCAGTTTATTAGTTTCAACTGAAACTGCATTAAACTGTCAGATTAATTTGGGAGAAATGGCTTCTTTACAATGATGAGCCTTCTGATCCATAGGCACAGAATCTCTCCCCATTATTTAGGTACGATTTAACATCTTTCAATAAATGTTATTATTTTTTCCCCATAAAGATCTTAAGTTGTTGAATTTATTCTTAGGAACCTCAGTATTTCTGCTAAGTGAATTTTACTTTTTTAATCGTTACATTTTACAACTTTGTAGCTGATGCATAAAAATACTACATATTTGTGGCATGACATGTGACACTCTGACATAAGTATACACTGTGTAATGTTAAAATCAGGGTAAACATCTTTTCAAACATTTATCATTTCTTCATAGTGAAAACATTCAAGATCTTTTCTTGTAGCTTTTTAAAAAAATTTTTTTAGTTGCAGATGAACACAATACCTTTATTTATTTATTTCCATGTGGTTCTGAGGATCAAACCCAGTGCCTCACACATACTAGGCAAGCACTCTACCACTGAGCCACAAGCCCAGCCCTTCTTCTAGCTTTCTGACATACACAGTATATTATCTATAGTCACCCTAGGGCAACAGCACACTAAAACTTATTACTTCCTAACTATAATTTACTACATGCTGATCAATCTCTCCCCAACTCTTCCTTTCCCAGCCACCCTGACTACCATTCTACTTTCAACTTTTATGAAATTAAAACTTGTTTTAGATTTCACATGAATGAAATCATGTGGTATTTACCTTTCTATACCCAGCTTATTTTACTTAACAAAATTATCTGTGGTTCCACCCATGTTGTTGCAAATGACAGGATTTTATCCTTTTTCTAATAGCTCAAAAGTACTCCACCACTGTGAATATGTACCACATTTTCTTTACCCACTCATCAGTTGATGGGCACAGTATTGTTCCAACAAATGATTAATTTTTTTAAAGTTATTAATCTTTAAAATAGTAAATAAAAATAAAACAGACACCAGCATCCCTATTAATAGCTCTATTTGTACATTTCCTTGAATTTTTCTATAAAAAGTCATTTTGTTGCAACAATAATGTGTTTTCCCTTTTTCTTTCTAATTCTACTTCTGCTTTCCTTGTCTAATCACTGACTAGAACTTCAAAAATAATATAGAGGAAGACAAGACATTTTTGTAATAACGTTAATAGTAATATCTAAAGTTTCACATTAGGTAAGATAATTTTTGCTGTAGGTTTATAAAAAACATTTTTRGTTGTAGATGGACACATATCTTTATATCATTTATTTAGCTTTTTTATGTGGTGCTGGGGATCAAACCCAGTGCTTCATGCATGCTAAGCAAGTGCTCTACACTGAGCCACAACCCCAGCCCTACTGATTTATTTTTATGTGGTGCTGAGGATCAAACCCAGTGCCTTACATGTGCTAGGCAAGCGTTCCATCACTGAGCTACAACCCTAGCCCGTTTTTTTGTTTTCTTAAATAAGTTTGAGAAGTTCCTCTCTACTTAACATTTGTGTAGACTACCATGATTAATTGTTGAGTGTGTGAAATTTTTCTGCATTTAATGTTTTTCCCCTTACTGAACAAAATTAGGGTAGCTTTTCCTTTTCCCTTTTTTTTTTTTTTTTGTTTTTTTTTTTGTAACTTAACTACTGAGTCACTAAGTTGCTTGGGGCCTTGCTAAACTGTGAGACTGGCCTTAAACTTGCGATCCTTCTCACTTGGTCTCCCAAATGCTGGGATAAAGGTTTGTAGCACCATACCCAGCACTAGCTTATAAAAGTAGTTTGAAAGGACAGATTAATCTGTTCCTTTATGATTTGGCATACTTGTATGAAAAGCTGTTGGAGGGTAGTTAATTTTCTTAAATACTGACTTTTGCATTTAAAATGGAAACACAGATTTCCCAGTTCATTTTCTTAAATAGCTAATGTCACATGCTTGAAAAATAGAAATAGACTTGAGATAATGTTACTACTATAATTACAAATGTCATTTCCAAACCTTATGTTGCAAACTATTTGTGGAATAGTATCAAAATTCAATGTATATTTACTTAAGAGATATTTCTTAAAGATGGGATCTTATCTCCAAAGTATTTAATGAATCCTTTACAGTTATACTGGAGGTTTGGAATTGGCAGTATTTATCTGCTATCACAACATCATTAGATCAACTCTCTTTCCTAGATTCTTGAAGTGACTTTCTCTATAATGATATGAAGTGTAAAGTATTACTTTCTCATTTAATGATATTGAGTTGCATTCAGTACTACCTTCACTTGAAAATGGGCATTATATTCTATTACAGTCTGTGGAAATGAAACATGAGAGAAACAGAAATAATAGAGGCATCTATTAAAAAAAACAAAACAAAAACAAAACCATGGAAATCTTATTAGGTATACACAAGTAAGATAAGATTAGATGAAGTAGACAAATAAATTTAAAAAATTATATTTCAAGATCTCTGTAAATTTGTTGTCCCATAAAAACTCTACCCCTCAATCTATGAAATCTGCTAAAATCTCAATAGTCTCAACAAAACAGAATCACAAAGATTATAAATAAATGAACAAAACTGAATTTATACCTTCTCAATAGCACTCAGTATGCCTTTGGGGTCTGGACAAACCAAATTTTTGCTTCTGTGTTTCATTTTGAATAGTTATAAAATTCTTAACATTGCTTCAAAGGTCTTGGGTGATCTGCCCCTACCTACTCCTTCAGTTGCAGCTGGAACCACTTTTCTTTGTGCTAAGTTCCTGCTATAAGAAAGAGCCTTCTTTCAGTTCTTCAACACACTGTTTTCTGGCTCATGGCTCCTTTTGCCTAAAATACTCTCCCTTTTCCCCAAACACAAAACACAAATAGCATGAAAGTTTGGATCCCCCTGCTAAAATCTGTATGTTAAAGTCTTAACTCCCAAGATATTAGGAGATGATAAGGTAATAAGAGCAGAGCTCTCTCTCTCTCTTTTAATATTTTTTAGTTGTAGTTGGTCACAATACCTTCATTTTATTTATTTTTATGTGGTGCTGAGGATCAAACCCAGGGCCTCGCATGTGCTAGGTGAGCATACTACCGCTGAGCCACAATCCTAGCCCGAGCTCTCTTGAATGAGATTTGTGTTTTTATAAAAAAAAGTCTCCGAGAGATACCTCATTCCATCCACCCTATGAAGAAGACCTATGAAGCAGAAAGTGGGCCCTCACCATATTCTGAATGTGTCAGCATTTTGCCATCTTGGATTTATCAGCCTTCTACAACTATGAGAAATAACTCCCTGTTGTTTCTTAAAGTCTCTTCTTGATACTTTGTTATAGGAGCTTGAATGGGCCAAGACTTTTTCTTTTAGCTAATTCCTACAGACTTTCACAAATCAGCCTAAATGACACATTCTCAGGGATTACTTCTCTAAGCCTCTACCTACTTCCTCTGAGTTTGGAAGATGGCAATCTCTACTACATACCAAGACTCTTTATTAGATTATAAAAATTACTTTTAATAATAAAAGTTTGAGTTTTATTCCTGCAAACTTCTCAGCACTTCAATATATTGTTTCACTTATTCCTTAATTACCCAATGATTTAGGTACTATTATCATAATTTCATATGTGGAGCACACAAGCCCACAGAAATTAACATATCAAAGGTTACAAAGTACAAGAGCTTGTGATTAAGAAAATGTGATATTGGCATACAGAGAAGCAGAAAAAGACCAGTGAAA